GGGGAAGATTTCAAAAATGTATGCAGATGCCCTTAAGAATATGTGTTTGAAGAAGTTAGATACATCATGGCATTCTAATAAATTTTATTGATACTAAAAAAAATTTATTATTTTAATGTATATGAGTGTATTGCCTGCATGTGTGTAAATGCACCTGTGTCGTGCAATGCCTATGGAGGTCAGAAGAGGGTACTGGATTCCTCTGGAACTGGAGTTACAGATGGTTGTTAGCTGCCATGTGGGTGCTAGGAATCAAACCCAGGTCCTCTGTAAGAGCAGCCAGTGCTCTTAACAGCTGAGTCATCTCTCCAGTTCCCTGTTTTTTAAATTTTAATTTAAAAATTACGTGTATGTGTGTGTGCGTGTGTGTGTGTGTGTGTGTGTGTGTGTGCACGCACGCACCCGAGTACAGGTCCCCATAGAATAGGGCGCTGAATCCCCTGAAACTGGAGTTATAGGCAGTTGTGAGCTGCCTGACATGGGTGGTGGGAACTGAACTTGGGTTCTAAGCAAGAGCAGGATATGCTCTTAAACACTGAGCATGCCCAGTTTCTTCTATTTTTGTTTCTGTAACTTTCCCAGTCTTGGGGATCAAACATAGAACTTTGTACCTAATTTACTTCTTTATGTCTTAGTCTCTCTGACATGAGGATGAGGATAAAAACATCATCCTGGGGCTGGAGAGATGGCTCAATGGTTAAGAGCACTAACTTTTTGCAGAGGACTCGGGTTCGATTCCCAGCACCCACATGGCATCTACGAACTGTCCTTAACTCCACTTCCAGGGGAATCTGAAGCCCTCTTCTGACCTCTGCAGCTTGCGCGACGTGGGTGCACTCACATACATGCAGGCAGTACACTCGTACACATAAATTAAAAATAATAAATGAAATATTAACCCCTCCCCAAAAATCATCTTAATGACTGTTGAGAGGACCAGATAATCAATATAAAATCCACAGTATAGTGTTGGCATGCATGCAGGATTATGAGAATGATGAAAATAATAACAGCTTTGAGACATTTGTGAGTTTCTCTAGAGTTTTGAGTAGATGCTGTTTGCAGAGCAGAGGCTGGTCACTATGCCATTTTAGCCCCGCCCTGGGAATGAGAAAAAGAGAAGTAGGAGAACAAATGGATGTGCTACTCCATCAAAGAGTAAATGGCTGAGTTTTGGATGAATCCACCAAGTTTAACATGATGAAAAGAAGAGAGGTCCAGAAGATAAAGGAACTTCATGCAGGAATAACAAGGCATCTGCCCAGGGCTTCTCCGGCTGTATTATTAGGGATGCTCATTATGAGAGGGTGGAATAGTTTAATAGCCACTAGACAGGGACTCATGGAGAAAGGGGACATGAAGGGTGAATCTAAGATAGTAAGACCAAGAGAAAATGAGCCCTAAGGGCTCCCAGGCATGGGAATAATATGAAGGAAAGTTTTCTACTCTGAATGTAAAATAAGATGCTGGATAAGTGAAGGGTATAACACTCGGAAACCGAAATATACAAAAGGGGCATTTCAATAATATAGTGAAGAAATGCAAAGTAGCTCCAGTAACAGCAACATACTTTATGTGGAAAAGTAGCAAAATTTCTCTAAAATGAAAATGAACATTGCATGCCCCTTTCAAACATTTTAGTTTTTAAAAGTTTAGAAAAATTTAATACGATGGACATAAGAGGAAATGAATGCACTTTGGCCTCTAAATAACTGCAAATAACTGTCTTTATCAAACTACCTCACTCATGGACAAAGTCAAGGAAATCAGCCTCAATCATCATGTGCTGTGGGACAGGAAGGAAGCCAGGCACTGGGCAGGATCCTTCATTTTGGGGAGTGAAGCCACACAGAGGCTGGTCCTGCTGCTCTTTACCAGTGTGACTGCACAAAGTAGTGCCCAAAGAGCAAACAGCCTTTTAGAAAATTTCTATTAAAATATTATAATTGAAGTTATCAAATATTTATTAATTCCTATACATATATTTTAGACTTAATTTTTTATGTATGTGCATGTGTATGTCTGCACATATCTATATGTATGTGAATGCAGGTGCTGGTGGAAGTCAGAAGAGGATGTCAGATCCCTGGAGCAGAAGTTATAGGCAGTTGTGACTGCATAGGGGTGCTGGGAATGAAACTTGGGTCACCTACAAGAGCATCAAGCACTCTTAACCACTAGGCCATCTTTCTGGCCCACTAATTTATATTCTTAAAAATGTAGATGCAAACGCAATAGAGAAAAACAAAGCCAAGAATAAAGATGCAAACATGTACTAGGAACATCGAAGAATAAACCTTGGTTGCCAGTCTCCAAGCCCACAACTTACCATAAAACTGGGCTTCCATGAATTGAGTTAGTTTAGTGTGATGCAGTGGACAGTGATGAGAGCCAACCCAGCACTGGGACAAAAGAATAAAACCGTGAAGGGTAAGATCTGGGTATCCCACAAAGAAGCAAGCTTTCCATAGAGTGGGGTGACCTACTGTCCACAGTGATAGCCTAGAAAGACTGCCTGTCTCTGAGCCCCAAGGCAGATAGCTCTTTTCCAGGACTAAGCCCAAACATCAGAGTTATTATTGTCCAATATTTGTTTTAAGGACCCTGAATAGCTAAGGCTGTGTCTTAGAACTTGACAGAAGGAGGGATGAGTTGTCAGGTCTCAGTCTGGGAAGAAGATGTATACATAGGTATAGGCACCAATGAAGCCATTACCTGCTTCTTTGGAAAACTGCCCATTCACATGCCTGCTCTTTGGATCCCATAAGGGACAATCTGGAGCTTCTTCACTGACTAACACTAGGTACTGGAATAGCTCAGTCACAGGGAGAAAAATGCAAGAGTCAACAAGGGCTGGGCAGGCAAATGGAAAAAGCTGAGGCCAAGGGTTCATTATATGGGCAGACATATCTGATTGTCTCACAGTGATGGGGAAAAGTGCAGGAAGTGTTTCCCAAACAGAAATGCAATGCAATGCAATGCTTGTTAGACAATCTAGTAAGCCTGGAAGAAAGGGGTAGATCATGGATTTTGAATCTATAAGCTTGGGATAAGAACCTAACTCAGAAGCTGTTATATGCCATGCAATCTCTGCTGAGCTACAACCCTGGGCCAGGGACATGGAAGATGCAGATGACCCCTTCTCTAAAATTAACAAGAAGGCGATCCCTGGTCAGCAAACATACTTCACCATGGTTCATTTCTAAAATGGAGAGAGGCAAAGTGCCCTTTGATGGGTTGCTTCTGTCATAAATGTCATAAAATATTCAGTCTCCTGAGGAACAAATGATGGGAAATCAAGTAATAAATACATGAATTACAAGTGGGCTGGGTGAGGAGGCACATACCTTTAATCCCAGCACTCGGGAGGCAGTGGCAGGCAGATCTCTGTGAGATGGCGGCCAGCCTGGACTGGTCTGTATAGTAAGCTCCAGGCCAGCTGAGGCTACAGAGAGACCCAGTTTAAACAAACAAACAAGGGTAAAGCGAGCGTCACATGATTTTAAGAGCAAGGTCATCTTACTTGGGTGTTTTGGCTCAACGGCAACTCTTACAATAGGGGTGGCTTCAAAGCTGAGTGGAATAAATGGTGGGCAGGATGGCAAGCTGCACAAGGTTGCAGATTTTAACACGAAGTCCTGAAGGCCTCCAATTCCTGCAGAGAGAAAAAGAACCATGGGGTCAATATAGGATGATAGATTCTGAATGTGTTAGCAAAACAACAGCATAAACCTCATACATAGATCACAGAGCCAAGCACTCCAAAAGTGGCAAGGAATGAGGTAGGCATGCATTATGGGTATTTTCTTTTTTGAAACCTAGATAATACTTCTGTCAAAAATATAGAAATTTTGCTAGTTTTTCTTTTCCTGGTGGACAAATTCAGTTACATCAGGTTTGGCTGAAGCATACCTACTTTGATGACAGAAATGGCTGCTTCTATGTATTTTGTGTATGTTACAGTATGTATGTGCTCATGTGGGTATGTACACAGGAATGTGTGTGCATGATACATGTGGAGGCCAGAGGTGGATGTCAGGTGTCTTCTTTGACTGCTCTCCATCTTATTTTTTGAGACAGGGTCTTTTGTTTAACCTGGAGCTTACCACCTGGCTAAACCAGCTGGCCAGTGCACTCCAGGGACATGCCTGTCTCCATTTTCCTAATGCTGGGGGTATCCAGCTTTTATGTGGGTACTGGGGATCTGAACTCACATCCTCATGCTTGTACAGAACACACTTTAGCTAGTGAACCACCTCTCCAGCCCCCCAGCTTTTAGGTATTTTTTCTGAAAACTATGATTATTTCTAATTATAATTTGTAGCTGCTTTAAAAAATACAAATTTAACGCCGGGCGTGGTGGGACATGCCTTTAATCCCAGCACTTGGGAGGCAGAGGCAGGCAGATCTTTGTGAGTTCAAGGCCAGCCTGGTCTACATAGTGCGTTCCAGGACAGCTGGGGCTACAAAGAGACTCTGTCTCAAAAAGACCAAAACAAAAACAAAAACAAAAACAAAAAAAACAACAAAAAAACACAAATTTAGCGCCGGGCGTGGTGGCACACACCTTTAATCCCAGCACTTGGGAGGCAGAGGCAGGTGAATCTCTGTAAGTTCGAGGCCAGCCTGGTCTATATAACGAGTTCCAGGTCAGCTGGGGCTACAGGGAGACCCTGTCTCAAAAAGACCCCCCCAAAAAAACCAACAACAACAACAAAAAACAAATTTAATGAATATGAATTGCCACTAAAATGATCTTTTTCCTAATTATCCTTGCACACGGGTAAAGGAAATTTAGAGATCTACAGTGTGATGAGGCTACTGAGTGTCTGATCCAGTTTTAAAGAGAATCCCAGCCATCTCTCTGCAGACTTCTAGATGATGACTGCACAAGATCCTGAATGCTGAATATTGTCTCCAGGCAGATGGGGGCAAAAAGAATATCCTAAGAGAGATGAAGGGGAATTCTGAATTTCACATCCAGAATTGGAGTGGGCAACATTTTACATTTTAGAGCACAGTAAGAAACACATATAAGGACAAAGGGGCCCATGTGTTGGAAAAAAAAAAAAAGACTGAAAAGGTTAAGTAGGAAGGACAGGCTACCTGCTTTAGGAAAAGGTGACATAAGAGAAAAGGGCAGGGATGTGTGATCAGCATCTATTTTTGCACCTGAGCTTAGAAACAACCAAGAAAGGGAAAGGAAACACTGCCGTGCTCAGCTGACAAGCGGATGTGATGTGAATAAGGGGGGGATGAGATGCAACTCAACCTAGCACAGCAGCCTGCACAGGGGAGGGACAGGAGGCTCCTGTTGTCTGACTACACTGGTGGAAACCTCCCTTCTATGCCTCACTCCCTGAGTACATCCAAAAAACATTTTACCACCTCAGAAAGGAATTTATTATATTGTGATAAGATCTGTTATCACCCATCTCCACACACTGTTCTTGTTCCAGTTATTCAAAGATTTGCAAAAAATGTTCCACTTTTATAACTACTCTTTGGACTTAAGGCAACTGCCAGGTACTTTAACCTGTTCTGCCTCACACCCAGCATCACTAGCTCTGTTACCTGTTCAGCTCAGGGCATGCTTTCTAGATGTTTCATGTGCCTGGAACCCTTTTCAGATAAAGTTTCCAGGATGGAAGGGCCTTTACGCGCCTCTGGCATATTTCTTTGGTCAAAGTCTAAGTTTCTTAATCCTATATCCGTTGGCCTAGCACACGTAAGTATGTATGGCTACAGCTTCCTGTTTACGTTGTCCACTCGTATCATGATCTAACAGATCTGGGTCTAACCAAGTCTCCAGCAAGGCTACTAGAAATAGCATCATCTCCAGTGAGGCCAGGGTTCAGGAAAACCCCGTAGTAAATACTCCCCTTTCAAATCTCATTCATCCTGCTCCTGACCTCTGACAGCAGGCACTTCCTTCCTGAACACACAGCACGGTTTCAACGGAAGTACAAATGCTGCTCTTTCCTCCACATCACAAGGGATGCAAACTGCAGATGGCCAGCACATCTGAACACCAGCTCTCTGAACTTCTGGTTGACATTCTGCTCTTCCAGCTACTGAACCTATTCTTGCTATTTAGATCTGCCCAGATATGTTGGCATGACAAGAATTCCCCCAAAATAGAAAAGAAAAAAAGTCAATGCCACAATATTTCTATCAAGGTTAAGAATTTATAGAAAAGGAAATGCTCTGAAGGGTGTAAGACTTTTTGTTACTTGTATTACATGTCATCAGATTTACTTATTTTTAAATATAACTTAAAAACACAGGAAAAGGACCACTGAGGTTATCTGGGCAAGTCAGCGTAAAATACTTAAAATCTCTGAGAATTTCTTGATAGGATTCAGGATAACTACTAAGCATACAACTTGGTACTTACAGAAAACACAGTTTGAAATAAACTTTTTGACTTAAAAATGTCATCAAGTTCAGCTTTGAAAAAAGAACAGGACACACACTATCAAATATCCTCATACTGACACTCGTTCCTCCTCTTAGGCACACACCTTTACATTATTATAACATTTAATGATTTTGGTTTTTTTCTACTTAAATCGTGATTTTTTTCCATTTTAATTACTTTAGTCATTATAATTAGCCAGGCTTGTAATCCCCATATGCAGGAGGTTGAAACAGAAGGATTGTGAACTTTAGTCAGTCTGGGCCACATAAACCTTGACCCAAAACAAATCCAAAGAGGAATACTAGTTTTTTGCAATTGGGATTTGTGGGAGAGGGACACGTGATTCCAAGGACTCATTCTAGGATCTCTGAGCTAAGAAGATTTGTTTTTCATGGGAAAAATTAAAAATGAGAGTGGCCATCTATTTATTTTCAGTTCCTATACTTACTTTCAAGTTAAAGGATTAGAGAGAGAGAGAGAGAGAGAGAGAGAGAGAGAGAGAAGAAACAGATTAAGGAATATGAAGAAAAAGCAATGAATGGGGCAGCAAGAATTCCAGCTCGTGTTTCCAGACTGACTGAGGATGAATGATTCAAAT